TTCCACTGGTTAATTGTTCTCCCTGTCAGGAAATTTCTGCTTAGTTCCAGGTTGCGTCTCTCCTTGATTAGCTTCCATCCATTGCTTCTTGTCCTGCCTTCCGGTGCTTTGGAGGATAGGCTGACAAGGCAGAAATACTTTCCAATGTCTGTTCGTGTAACCTTACAAAAAAGACAGAGCTAGTATTCCTGGCAAGGCCTCTTGTCTGGCCTACCTCGCAGGGCTAACTTTAGAGCTGGCCTAGGAGCAGAGAGAGTCAAATTTCCCCCACCGTGAAGCTCATGGGATGACCTTGGGAGGATGAAAAGAAGTCCTTGCTGGTGCTACAGCAAGACAGGAACAGGGAAGTTTTCTAAAATCAGTGAGAATCTGGAGGGCGATAATCTGCCCTTGACGAAAACCAGCCGTGTCAGATGCGCAATCAAGGGCTTCCAATTTATCTGATCCTGTTTGAGATGGTGTGTGTGTGTCTAAATCCCCCACCACCATGTACTTAACCAAAGTCCTCTCCCTGACTTTGTGTTGACAGAACAAACACTGCCTGCTCGAACTCAGCATCGGATGCACAAAAGATTTAATCAAAGCCAAGATATATCCCATTGTTCTCTTTATTAAAGTCTCCGAGAAAAACATCAAGAAATTCAGGTACGTCTCGGTCACGGCGCAAAGAAGGATGGGCGAGAGGAAAGAAATAGAGGGATGCTTTGCCCGCTGCAGAAATATGGAGCGGACAAAACAGCTGCACGAATGAAAAGGGTCCTTACCAAGGCAATCGCTACCTAGTGTATTTTGGCACCTACGTCTTGGAGATGCTTCTTCTCTCTCTCTCTTTTTTTTTTCCCTCGGATTTGCACATCTGAACCTGTTTGCCCCTAAGTTCTTTCTTTCTGTTTGGGAGTAAAATAAAAAAATGATGCGATGGGGACTTTGTGGAGGAAGGCAAAAAATAAAAATAAAAACCCCACAACGCTTGTTGCAACTGATTTAAAATCAGGGCTGGCAGTTGGTGCCGATTCTGGGAAATCAGACCCTTTGTGTGTTGTGGCTGGCAGAGCTATAAGCGCAAACACATCTGGAAAGCACAGACTAGGCAAGGCTGCCATATGTTTCCCGGCCCTCCAGATGTTAAGCCTGGCTTGGATGACCCCAGAATCAAAATCTGGCAAGCAATTCTTTTTCTACCTGTTGGTATAAATTTGCATGATAACCGTTTGAATGAAATTACAAGGCAGAAACAAAACCTTGTTGAGAAAACAAAAGCTAGATTCCATGTGTTTGTTTGTATCTGCCTTTATTACTTTTACAAATATTTATTAAGCTTGTTCTATTCTATTCTATTCTATTCTACTCTACTCTACTCTACTCTACTCTACTCTACTCTACTCTACTCTATTCCCATTATTCTATTCTATTCTATTCTATTCTATTCTATTCTATTCTATTCCATTCCATTCCATTCCATTCCATTCCATTCCCATTATTCTATTCTATTCTATTCTATTCTATTCTATTCTATTCTATTCTATTCTATTCTATTCTATTCTATCCTATCCCATCCCATCCCATCCCATCCCATTCCATTCTATCATAAGTCAAGGGCTTCCTGTATCCATCCTTCCTCTCTTTACTGGCCTTCTGTAAATCTGGATCTTCTTCCTCCTTGCCCGGGTTTACTTTTTTCCCCCCCGAAATGGTCAGCCGTAATAAAATTTTATGTTGTAAAACAATGAATTGGATAAGTAGAAAGAGACTTGAACTCTCCAATTTCAGGAAACAAATGGAAGTGTCTCCAGAACATGACAATGAAAACCAGCCAAAATGTAAACATAATAGAAAATCAATAGCAAATTATTACTCAGTCATGCTCTACCCCACGGAAGATTGAAAGGATCTGTAAGTTATCTGTAAATAAACACTGGAGGACCATAAACAATACGTGGTGGACAAGTTTAGTTATATTGCATTTCTTCTTGGCAACGGAGGCACCCAGGGTTAGCAAGCCATGAATTGCAGCAGACTTTCGGTTCAGCGTCAGAAATACAGCATTTGAGTGATCAAATTCAGCCACAGCTATTTTGTTTAGCTCATTAGCTGTAGCATCGATGCTGGTGGCCTGAAAACTAAACAGCGATTCATGCCCTGTTTGCATGTTAAAAGGTTTTTAACAGGAGGCAACTGGCTACAGCTAGTCCTTGACTTACAATCGTTCATTTAGTGACTATTCCAAGTGACAAAGCACTAAAAAAAAAAGGGACTTAGGACCGTTTTTCACACTTAATGACCATTGCAACATTCCCACGGTCAGGGGATCAAATTCCAGACTCACATTTATGACAGTTGCAGAGTCCCGGGATCCTCTTTTTCTGACCTCCTGGCGAGCAAAGTCAACGGGGGGGAAGCCGCGTTCACTTAGTAACTTAACAATTGCAGCGATTCATTTAATGACTGTGGCAGGAAACGTCACAAAATTGGAGCCAAACTCCCTTAACAACTGTCCAGCTTAATTTTGGGCTCGGCTGTAGTCCTAAGTCTAGAACTACCTGTAATGTTCAGGAAAATAATGTTTGAAAAATGCAGACGTTTAAGACTGTAAGGCATTGGGAGAGAAGGAAGCATTTTCAAGGAAAATCCGATTAATGGGTTAAGACTTCCTTGGCTGAAATGATGGCTGGTCGGTGTCTTAGGGGCTCCCACTCTTGAAATTACTATCCCCGATCCAGGGAAAGTTCACAGTGATTATGTCAGAAATTAATGAGACATAAATCAGTTGGAGCTAATTGGTCTCATCGATTTTAGTCATATCTCCTCGACCCTCTTTTCTCTAAACTTGAACCTTTTAATCTAAGAGTGGATGTACAACAATTCCCTTCACACTGTACATCCTTTCCTGGGGAAGCACCTTCAGTCAAATTCATAAGGTATAAGAAATGGTGAATGCAAGAGAGAAAGAATGGGGCTTGAAAAAAAAGAAAATGGAATATATCCCGTGCTCCATCGTTTTCTTTTGAGGGAGAAACAGAAATAAGGATTTTTGGTTTCGGGATGAAGTCTTGGGGTGCCCATAAATATTGCCCAGATTTCAATAACTCCAGAATTTCAGAATAACAAAGTTGGAAGGGACCTTGGAGGTCTTCTAGTCCAGCCCCCGCTCAAGCAGGAGATCTTATACCATTTCAGACAAATTTTTCTTCTTGAAAACCTCCAGTGATGATATAGGGTCTCCTGCTTGAGCAGGGAGTTGGACTAGAAGACCTCCAAGGTCCCTTCCAGCTCTATTTTGATTCTGATTCTGATGGAGCACCCACAACTTCTGGAGGCAAGGAGTTCCACTGGTGAATTGTTCTCACTGTCAGGAAATTTCTCCTTAGTTCTAAAGTTGCTTCTCTCCTTGATTAGTTTCCATCCGTTGCTTCTTGTCCTGCCTTCGGGTGCTTTGGAGAATAGCTTGACTCCCTTTTCTTTGGGGCAGCCCCTGAGATATTGGGAGACTGCCATCATGTAACTCCCTAAGCCTTCTTTTCATTAAACTAGACATACTTAATTCCAGCAACCATTATATACCTCTATATTTCAGGTTCTAAGGAAACGGTCATAGATGACCAGCTGTTCCACATTTCCCTTTGAAATGGAGCATTGTCTGTCTGTCTGTCTGTCTGTCTGTCTATCTCTCTCTCTCTCTCTCTCTCTCTATCTATCTATCTATCTATCTATCTATCTATCTATCTATTTTATTTATTTATATCCTGCCTTTATTATTCTTATAACTAACTCCAGGCAGCGAACATATTTAACACTACTCCCTCTTCCTCCTATTTTCCCCACTACAATGATGCTGTGAGGTGCGCTAGGCCGAGAGAGAGGGACTGGCATTTTTCAATGTTCAGATGATCAGCAGATGTAGGTGGATGTTTCTGTTGGCTTATGCTTGCCTGCATGCACATCTGGTTAACAGCTGTTTTGGGGGTGGGGCTCTTCTGTCACATAGAAAGCTGCTACCGAAACCAGATGTGGAGGAGGAATTACTGAGGACCTGTCGTCAGAACGAGAAGGAACTGGAGGGCTTACCCTGCCTTTACGCCTCGTTGGAGACGGATTCGTGGAGCAGCATCGAAGATCTTCTTCGGATCATCAAGGATAAAGTCTGGGAAGAGCAGCAGAAAACCATCTGGGTTGACGAAGAGCAGTTGTGACGCACAGATCCCATTGGTGACCTGGGATCCCGCTAGCAACGTAACGAAGCCGAGAGGAGAAGACCTCAGGAAAGGCTGCCGTCTTTGTTCCTACTTCATCAGATGTCTGAGAGTCTCAGCAGCAGGTAGACGTTGAGGGTGAGGGAACGTTCTGAGAAACCAAGGATGGAAGGCTTGGACAATGACATTTCCAAGGGATTCTTTAAAGTATGGAAGTGGATTGTTCTCCCAGGGAACTTGGCTCCGTTCTCTAGTATTCACCACTTCTGGAACACTGAAGGTCAGATGTTTCCAAAGAGACATTTTGAAGCATAAACCTGGTGCTGCAGGGTCTGAAGATGGATGGCGGGAGGGTGAAGGGGAAACATTTTTGATAGTCATCTGTGAGTGAGATGGGTGGTCCCTAAATTTGATAAATAAATAAAAATACATAAATAGCAGCCGGGGAAGGCCTCAACGTTCCTCATGGCCATCTCTTGGAGAGATGGGTCCAACTGTCCTCAGATCCACCAAAATGTGTGTCTCAGCCTGCTTAATAGCCAAGAGCATCTTTCATTTCTTTTCCCTACTCTATTCCTTCTTTCTTCTCCTTCCCTCTCTTTAAGTCATCCCGCCCTATCAGAGATACCAAAAGTAGAAGGGGCCACCATGCCTCTAAGTCACTGTGTCTCAACTTGGCAACTTAAAGATGGATGGACTTCAACTCCCAGAATTCCCCAGGCAACTATGCAATGTCGGGATGCTGCAACAGTTGTAAGTACGGAGACCGGTTGTAAGCCATCTATTTTCAGCATTGTTGTAACTTCAAACAGTCGCTAAACAAGTTAAGTTGAGGACTACCTGAATAAGAGAAATCTCTTTGCAAGTAGAAAAATAGCATCACGTGGGATTTATTGAGCTAGAACTGCGTTTCCCAACCTCGCCGTTTGGAGATGGGTGGACTTCAATTCCCAGAATTCCCCAGCCAATTCCCCAGTGTGCTGGCTGGAGAATCCTGGGAGTTGAAGTCCATCCATCTTAAAATTGCTAAGGTTGAGAAAGGTTGCTTTCGATAAATGGGGCACAAACTTTAGCTGGCTGGAGTGTTCTGGGAGTTGAGGTCCACCCATCTTAAAATTGCTAAGGTTGAGAAAGGTTGCTTTAGATAAATGGGGCACAAACTTTAGCTGGCTGGAGTTTTCTGGGAGTTGAGGTCCACCCATCTTCAAGTAGCCAGAGTTGCTACTGCTCTAAGTAGTTGGCAGATAATGGCCACGGGCAAAAGCTGGAGGCTACGAAAAGTAAGTTGCACTCAGTCATTCCCATAAAGTTTACCAAGAGAAGAAGCTTCCGAATGCCACTAAACAATGAATCAAAACTGAAATTTAAATTATTATTTTTTAAAATTTAATTAAATTAAAAACAAAGAACAATCAATCAATGGAAGGGAGGAAGGGAGAAGGAGAGCCAACCTGGAAATATGGAGTAATTTCCTAATAGTGAGAACTATTAAGCGGTGGAAGAGCTTGCTTCCCAGAGTGATGGGTGCTCCATCACTGGAAGGTTTCAAGAAAAGATTGGACAACCATTTGTTCAGGATGGAATAAGGACTCGTGTCTTGGGCAGGGTTTGGTCTAGAAGACCTCTGAGGTCCCTTCCAACCCTGTGATTCTGTGTTCTAAGCATATTTGCAATTTGCCAGAGCTCTGAGTCCACCGAGGAGCGATGTCCTTAGCCATCTGGAGCAGGAAAGTCCAAACGCTCCCGCCAGGCGTTTCCAGGCGCCCCTGGGTCTCAACGGGGGCTCGCATGGGGCGAAAATAAATAGAGGTTGCACAGCTGTGCTAGCAGATTGTGTCCTCTGCCTGCTGCCACTGAGCGTTTTTCATATCCAGCCCTTTGAAGAACGGAGATTGCCGGAGGCTCTGGAGTTGGTGGTGGCCACAGGTCCCCAAATCCGACATCTTCAATTAAGTGGCATTTTTTTCCCTGGCCTTGTAACTTGACATCTATTTTTCCTGCAAAGACGTTGATGAGCACATGAAAATCATCACCAACTGTCTGTCTGTCTGTCTGTCTGTCTGTCTGTCTGTCTGTCTCTCTCTGTCTCTCTCTCTCTTCCTCCCTCTTTCTTTCTTTCTTTCTCTTTCTTTCTCTCTTTCTCTCTTTCTTTCTTTTTCTTTCTTTCTCTCTCTCTCTCTGTTTCTTTCTTTCTCTCTCTCTTTTTTTCTCCCTGTCTCCATGGGCATCTATCAGATATTGCAGATGCTCTCATATCTACTCATTGCATTGATTGCAATGGGATGCGGAGGGGAGGGGAATATTTTTCTGAGCAATTAAGCCAAAAGATGGTCGGAGGGGGAAGGGGGGGAGGAAGAGAGGCTGGTTCTGGATAAAATTGAGCCCACGGTCATGAAAAAAGACAACCAGACCAGGATTTGTGAAGGGAAACATGGCCTGGAATGTAATGGATCACCAGTAACTGGGGGGGTGGATTTTAAGATGGGTTGGGCTCCTTCTGAGAATAAAACAAAAAACAAGAAGCAAATGAGAGGGTCGAGTTTTACTCTGAGGTTCAAATGTTTTGCAGCAGAGAAAAAGCTCCAAAAGGCTTTTGTTGCCTGTAAAGGATTTTCAACTATTTCACAGTGTTTGGTTTTCTTTTTTCAGCCAAGGTACGGAGGTCTACCTTGTAAATCAGCTTCATTCCCCCACCTCTACTACAATATCCAGCTTGCTCTAGTAGGGAAGGCAGCGAGGAAAGTTTGGGGGGGGGGAGTGAAGAAACAGCAGTGTTCTGTCCCCCCACCCCTTTTCAGGGATTTAAAATGGAGATTAACCCCATTGATTGTAAATGCCTCAGTAGCCTTCTTAGCTATTTCTCTGGGCAGATCCTGTTGGGTGTTGACCAAGATCTTTAAGCTGCTGGAATGTGTTACAATAAGCACTGAGTAGAATGAACTAGTGGTCCTTGCCAAAATTATTTGGAAAAAAGATGCCGGGGAAGCATCACAAACATTATTGTCTGGGATAAACGCTCCAGAAAAGGCAAATGCATCTCATTGTAGGAAGAAAGATCCAGGACCATTTGAAGCATCCGTTCCAGAGGTTCTTCTGGACCAAGTCTGACTCCCCAAACCATCTTCAACAAACTCTAATTGAAACTGAATTAAACAAAGTTTGTTGGGTTTTCTTTAAAAAATTAATTGGGAAAAAACGGGAGATGTGGCCCCTGGCATCGTTAAGGCAAGGTTTGCCAGATG